TTCCATATGCATGCCATGGTACCCCCATTAAGTAAATAAATATAATAAAATATTTAAAGTAAGTTATCAATGAACAGTGAAGGGTTCCTGTGATCCTCCTGCCTTCCAAGAAGGTAGTTGCGGTCCACAATACAAACACTGTTTTCATCTTCAGAAGCATGCTGCTGCTGAGGTACAGAAATGCTTGTTTTGTTATTTCTAGACCATTTGTTTTTATACTTTAAGTATGCTAGAGCTATTTTCTCTCAATTACACTAATATGAGAACTCTAACAAGGGACCAACCCCTGAAATTCCATGATAGTTTTGTATTAAATGTCTTTGACTTGACCTGTCCTATACGTCTGTTTACACAGTTAGGAATATCTATCTACTGCATTGAAAATTCATTAGAAGATGAATGATCGATTCTATCAGAATCAAGTAGGATGTATAAGCATTAGAAGGCTGTTCTAGTTAGGGCTGTTATTGCTGTGATAAAATGCCACGACCAAAGAAACTTGGGGAGGAAATGGTTTATTTGGCCTACATTTCCACATCATCGTTCATCATCAAAGGAAGCCCGGTCAGGAACTCAACCAGGGTAGAAACCTGGAGGCAGGAGCTGATGCAGAGGCCATGGAGGAGTGCTGCTTATTATTTTGCTCCTCATGGCTTGCTTAGCTTATTTTGTTATAGAATCCAGGACCACCAACCCAGGGATGGGCTGGGCCTTCCCCCATCAATTACTAAAAAGAAAATTCCCCATGGGCTTGCCATAAGATCTGGTGTACCCCAGATCTTATGGAGGCATTTTTTAAATTGAGGCTCCTTCCTTTCTCTCCAGTGGCTTTAGCTTGTGTCAAGTTGATATAAAACTAGCCAGCATAAGCTGGTCAAATAAAATAGGAAAATTGTTCTTAATCTCCTTACCACCTGTTTCTAGATGAGAAGTACGAGGTGTGATTGGACCAGAAAGTGAGGTTTCAGCCCCTTCCTATTCTGTTACGGTGTCTTTCTAAGACAGAACTAGTTCCTGATCCTGCCACGCCAGCTCAGGACACTCTTACAACCTTTCAGGAACATGTCATATCAGACAGGAAGGAAAGACAGTGAGAACCTTCTCACCTTGGGTGTGGTGCTACAGACTCCTCTGGTAGGTCAGCATCTCTCCCCAGCTACATAATCTGAACATGTGAACAAACCTGACCTTCTCTTCCAGGAATAGATGGTTTCCCCCTTTTGTCTGAGTGATCTGTGCTCAGTTGAACACTTGGAGGATCTTATGAAGTTCTCTCCCAGGTCTCATGGCTTTTCCAACTTTGAGGTTACTGCCTGGGTTCTCCACTTTACTCCACAGTTGGAAGCTACTATGGTCTCATCTTTCAGAGACCATAGTCCTTTGCTGTCTTGTTTTCAGACATCCATTTTGTGTCACTTTATAGGGAGAGGGAACTCCATCCTGTTGGGAGGCCCTCTGCGACAGTTATTCCCATGTCTTAATAAAGACTATGTGTCTTTATAAATATTGCTCATGAGCAAAGCATTGCTCAAACATACTCAGGCTCCTTCTGTTACCGAGTGGGCTGTGAACCACACACTTCATACAACATCAGAGACCTTCAGACCTGTATTCTCCCTCTGTACACAGGAAGATGGGTGATCTGTTATATAGTAGGATATAGTAGATATATAGTCAGGATATATAGTAGATGTCCACCACATGGGTAGAGTACAACGATGTCATTCTCTGCATCACTGCTATGGGCTTACAAGGAAAGGAAGAGCTGACAGTGCCCCTCCTTCTACAGGGATGGAGACTTCCTGGCCACAACAGGTAGATCCACTTCGATTTTATCTTCCATTAGGGCTGAGCTTCATTGTTGACCAGTGTGACTGGAGTCCCAGGACAAGGCTGCATAGGCAAATTTCAGTGTGTGCTACTGAGAAGAAGGAAGCTCTTAAAAACTCCCTTTTGTAGCAGGATGGAAGTCTATAGCCAATATGAGCCACATTTTGCCTCCATAGGTTTCATTCATGGTGACAAATGCAATCCACACAAGTTGAATTATTTCCTGTGGAGGGGAACACTCTGACCAGCCTTGAGGCCATATGGTCAAGAATGTTTTTAGCCAGAAGAAGCAAAATTTTAGGTTCTTATAACTTGAAACATTTTTAATACTAAATTTTAAGGATTATAGTTGAAAAATAAAATGTGATAACTGAGTTAATAGAATGTATAAATGTTTATCGTGTGTGATAAATACAGAAGCATAACAAGGCTTTGTCACGGAGACGTTCAGTGAGAACCACTGGCCAGGTGAGGAGGGTTGCTGGGCTGCTAGCTCAGATGCGCCCCAGTGGAAAGGGTCACTTGTCCATCTCTGTGCTCTGTGTGGGACAAGCTGCCTCCAGTGTGCTCCTTCTCTGCCTCAGATGGGATTTCTGGGGGTCAAAGTCAACCAGAGTATCATTGTGGCTGGTAGGGGGACAGCCAGCAGAACCCCAGGCTTGAAGAAGCTCACCTATTAATAGAGTTTTCTGTGATCCTTTAGCTGTGCTACACTGTAACTCAGTGACAACCTGACCCTGCCTGTGACTCTGGAAGACAAACTCTTGGAATGGAGCTGTGCTAGACAGGAATTAAGCTGAGGCTCAAAGCAGACCCTTGTTTAAGGCTCTCTAAATTTGGCCCTATATAGGTACAAAGTTGTAGGGTGGTATGCAAGGAGAACTTGGCCATCTCCAGGCCTGCTTGTTCACAAGGCTCATACTGAGCAGAGCAGTGGCAGGGTCCCAAGGCTAGGCACTCCTCTCTTCCCTAGGGGTTTAAGCTCTGACCCAGGCCCCAGAGCTATGAGACCCCTGGTCTCAGTCTGGCTGCCAGGCTTTGTTCGTGTTTGACAGCCACTTAGGGACTGAATTTGCTCATGGCCATTGTCAGTGAGGGTCATAGGCGGGGCCTCCCTGGCATCTTCAGCCGTGGCATGAAAAGAAACTGGCCATATCTGTCCATGATGGTTTAAAACATGCCAAGCTTTTCCCAACAGTAAGAACATCACCACAGTCCCTCATTCTCAGCATAGTCCCCATACCCCACAGCCCAGCTACCCTTATCACTTCCCGGGGACTGTCTTGACTCGAGGTCTGTGTACATCTCTGTTATGTTCTTGTAAAGCAGGACCCAACTTCAAGGCCAGCAGGGCTTTAACCCACCCAGAGTCAGTCTTTGCCTTTATCAGTATTGCTGAGCCTGGACCCCCTTCTACTCATGTCTGCCTAGTCCCCACAAGGATGGGAAGAATGAGGGATATATATATATATATATATATATATATATATATATATATATATGATGGTCTAGACCTCACCTGTGTGCTCACACCTACAAAGAGATGTGATTTGGCTTGGGGGACATACATCCTACAGAATTAATCAGAAGATACCCTAGGATGCAGGCTAGGCCCAGGCTATGGCTGCCAGCAGCAGCAGGGCACTTTCGTGCCTACCTCAGGACTTTAGAGAGACACAAAGGCCGTCAACAAAGGCTCCTGCCAGGCAGTAACAAATCTGTGGAGCTGTTTGCTTGAAGACCCCGAAGCACTAGTTGCTCTCCCAGATTTGGTGCAGGATCCCTGCACAGGTTGTCTGCAGGTGAGATCCTTGAGGCTTCAGCAGCTACCATGCTGTAAGAGGGTCAGGTCAGAAGACACTCTTCGAACCCTAAGTTCATCAGGCTGACATCTTGGACCATGGTTGTTAACAGCAGGTCCTCCAGAACTTTTTAATATTGATACAAGTCTGCAGAGGACCTGGGTTTGGTTCCCAGCACCCATATTGGACATCTCACAATTACCTGTAATTCCAGTTCTAGACACCTAGAATACCCATCTGACCTCCAAGAGCACCTGGCAGACAAGTGGTGCACAAACTGACTAACAGGCATATACACATACTATAAATAAAAATAAAAATAGTCGCTTTTTGAAAATAGGCTGGTAGGAACATAAATATGAATGCCAGTTTTCCAGTACATCACTTACATTTTGATTTTCAGGAGACGATGGGGATTGGGGCTTTGTGGGACTTAACACAAGTGGCCAAGCCAGGACTCCATAAAAAAGAGCTGAGTGACAGAAAAGGGCCTGGGTCTGGTTCCCACAGTTCTGTACTCATAAGACTTCCACTGTGGGAATTCGCAGGTGAGCAAGAATTAGAAGTGACTTTGAGTCATTTTTGAGTAGCTGAAGAAAGCAGGGAGTCTGGAGATTTGAGAGTCAGAGACCACCAGAGAGAGGGAGGGGTAAATTGCTCCAAGCGCACAGGTAGGCCTCGTTCTTAAGTTTCAGAACAAGGTACCCTCAAGCATGAGCTAATGTGTCAGACATTCATCTCCCAACTCCCCTTTGGGCTGACTTGGCTAGAGTCTAAGACAACCCGGAGGACGGAGAAGTCTATTGCCCCAAAGCCTCTGCCTCCAGCCCCGCTGCATCACCTTACCAACCCCATAATCTTCTACAGAGTCACCTTCTCCTGCGGCAGGGAGGCCATGACCTCACCACAGAGTCAGCAGGGTAGAGATCCCGTGGCAAGTATCCCTAGAAGGAAGCAAAATCAGCAGACTCTCAGCATCTTTCTCATACAGGTAACCGTAGCGGCCAGCATCTCCTCACGCGCACCAAGCTCTCGTGTAGAAATCAGCAGCCAGCTAAGCTCTCTGTAGGCTGCGACTGCGCCACCAGCCTCAGCTTCCCTTCTTGGGACTGGCCGCACGCCCGGCGCCCCAGGGCCAGGTGTGCCCCACTAGCTCTTCCCTAACCATCGCCCGGTTCCCACGCTCCACAGCTCCACAGACAACCGCGCCCTGGGTCGAGCTGCGTCCATAGGCCGGCAGTGCCTGCGGCAGCCCTTGTAAGGCAGTAGCGGCCTCCGGTCTCGGTGCGCCGCGCTCCGGTCGGGAGGAGCCTCAGTGCGCGCCTAGGCGGGGCAGTAGGAGGAGGGGCACGTGGGCAGGGCTGGAGGGCGGGGCCCGGGCGGGCGGCTCGGAGAGCTCAGCGCCCCGGGCGCAAGTCTAGTCGCGGAGGCGAACCAGTGGACTCGTCTAAGAGGTAAGCTAGCGCTGGGCGCTGTCCGTGGTCCGAGGCACGGGTCCGGGGCCCTGGGCTCAGGGCGCCTCCGGTCTGTGAGGCTGGTCACCTGCCACTCTCTGCAGCGGCGCGATCAGCTCCCACTGCTGGAGCGGTGGTTCCTGGAGACCTCGGTGCAGTGGTGTCAAGAATGGGTATGCGTGTACACTGAGCCAAGCGCATTGCGTCGCCTCTTAATACGGTGGACTGAAAGCACCCCACGGTTCCCCACCAGACCCAGGTGCTAGGCCTCGCCGGGCCTCGGGTCGCTGCCTGTGGAACCTGATGGGAAACGGTGTAAAGAGAAGAAACTGCCCTGATCCGCGCATCTGGGAGCAGGAGCTGCCTGGGCGTTCACGGGTCTCGAATCCTGAACCCGCGTTACGTCCTGCAGGTGACAGAGCCCATTCGCTCCTCCACCCTTCTTGTGAACCTGTAATGTCGCAGTCGAGATGGCGAGGGTTCTGTCAGGGTCGCATCTTGAATTCCAACGTTTGCGTGCGGCAGAGGGAGGATCCGACCCTTCCTCGGCGGTTTCGGTTATGTAAACGAGGCCTTGAACTAGGTGAGGAAGACGAGTGGCCCTTTGTGGCACGGCGTTGGACAGGCTCTGCTGTCCTGGTAATCGGTCCTGTGCGTGTCCTGGATTTATGATGGCGTTTGGCCCAGCGCCCATTTGTCTATCTGTCCTCTCTTGGCCGCGTAGGTGGCCTGCATAGGCGGTGTGAGCTCTCCAGGACTGGAGTAATGGGGTGGGGGGTTGGGGGGGCGCAGCTTGATTAGCTTTCAGCAGGGTTCTCTGGCGGCGGGCTGCTGTTTGTGCTCGCGTGCCAGCCCCTCTCCCATCACGTGACCCCTGAGGACTGGCGAGGGGGAGGGGCACAATCTGAGCTTAGTGTCTCTAAAGGACTCCTCTATTCAGAAAAGCTCGTGATTGCAACAGGGACCCACCCTTAGGAAAGGTGCCCTAACTCAAGTGGCGCATTGAAAATCTTTGTCTTTACCGATGGCAAAGTGCGGGTAACGCGCGCAGCTTAACCCTTGGATCCATCTTTTCCATTCTTTGAGGTTATTGAATATAGCTATTTTAACTATCACCTAAGGTTTTGGAAGTTTTTCTAAACATTAGAAATTTTCATTTAAGAAAATTGAAATCACCCATGAGGGGTGGAGGTTTGTGAGAAATCTCCGGATTTTTCTGGAAATTTCTGGGCCCTGCTCTGCTGGGTTCCACAGAGGGTGAAAACGGGCTTCTTCAGCAGTGCCTGCTGGCCTATTTATAGCGCACAACTGAAGGAGGAGCCTGTAGGAGGTGTGATTTCTGTTCTGCCAGGGAAGGGGACCTTGCAGTCTTGTCCAGCCCTCCCCACTCACCCAGCAAGGCTGTGCCCACCCATGCAGGAGAATGGAGCTTTCCACTTCTTACTGCAAGGAAGGGCTGGAGCTGTTCAGCCACAGGCTGGGTTCAGACATGGTGGCCAGCCCCTGCCACTCTGGTGGGGTCTCCTACTGCTGGTAAGACCGGCTTCCTCATAGAGAAGAATCACCGTGTTTCAACCTTAGCATCCTCTGTTTATGGCCAGGACTTTCCTTGTCCACAGCATCCTACTACCTACAACACCTCCCAGTCAAAGCAACCTCACCCACGTCAGCCACCACCCATCCATGACCCACGGGAATCTCCTTATGATATCCTTTATCAATGGTATTACTTACTTAGGGCATTCCCCACCCAGGGCAGCCCCACGGAGGACCTACAGTATCATCCCATAGCGCCTTCAGCTCTATGCCCCATTTTCCCTCTGCAGCACTGGGGAAGCCTCCTCCTGATGTCCTGTGCCAGTCCCAGAAATGGCCCTGCTTGGGTCATGGTTTCTGTGACCCACAGATGGCTTACTGTTATCAGGGTAAAGGGCATGAACAGAATGCAACTTCCTGATGATGAACGAAACCATTTGGGTCCATTATCTCTCTTAACTGTACAGTGATGTAATTCACAGTCATGTCTAGATGCTCAAATGTAAGGCTTTCTTTAGTCTTTCAGGCAAGTGTGAGGAGAATGGTTCATGAGTCGTATCCCAAGCTCCTCTCCCACCTGCCAGGCTTAGTGAGCTCTGCCAGATGGCTGCCTCCTCAAGTCCCTCCCATAGGGACCCTGCTTCAGTACTGTAATTTCAGTTTCCTCCTGGCAGTCATTCCCGTTGCCCTTTGCCCCGTGGTAGATGTGTGGGAGTGGAAGGGTCTTATTAGCTTCACCTCATGAACATATATCCCTGCGCGCTATCTTAGCTCTTGCCTGTGTTTTTTGACCTTTACACATGTGAAATCATACAGCGACGGTTCTATTGAGCTGTCTTCTTTTAACTAGTGTTCGCCTGAGCAGATTCACCCATGACTCTAGCTTCCTGCTCTGTGAACCTCTTCTGTCAGCTGTCTTTGGTTGCTTCCCTGTTGGGAGATCAAGGATACAAATGTCTTGGACTCTTCTACAAACTGCAAGGCTCCTGAAGAACTGAAGTTGTTGGGCTTCTATGTACCCCTTCAGATTTAGTGAAGGGTATCCCACCAGTTACCTTCCTCGTGTGGTGCTGTGTGCTCCACATCCACCAACAACTGCCTAGGTCAGTCATCTGGTTTGGGGGTCTTGTCTGCACTTTCCTGATTATACTTTGAAGCTTATCATTTCTTGTGTTCTCTGGCTCTCCCCTGGACTGTCTTGTTCTGTTGAGTAATCTCCTTTTTTACTAGTTGACTATAGAGGCTTTTTTATATATTGGACAACTCAGTGTTTGTTGTATAGAACAAGAAGAATCTTTCCTTATTTGAGCTTTGCCCTTTTAGTCTCTTAATATTCTTTGATAAGCATAAGTCCTTAACTCCAGTCTGGTGCTATTTAGAATCTTTTTTCCCCTTTTGGGAGTGTGTGTTCTGTGTCAAGTCTTCCCGACCCAAGAGTATCTGTCTCTGGACAGCAGTAGACGGACACAGGAGCTTAGCTTCCTCAAGTTCCCCGTGGCTGTGTCATGTGCTTATTCTTTTTGTTTACTGTCTGAGTACCCCCTTTCTCTGCTGCAGCACGTAACACCTGGAAATGAGCTGGATGTCACAGAAAACAGTGCCATAGGTAGTTTCAGGCAAAATTCAGCCTACTTGGACTGACTTCCCAGGGCCTCTTGTTCTAGCCCCATCTGACCCTCTGCTTCCATCCCGTGGCTTTGCACCCATGGGGCCTCTGCTTAAGTGGCTGTCTTAGAGTCCTGCTTCCTCTTCTGGTCTTAGAAGCTATGTGATGACGGCGACACACTGAGTGACGTCACATGACATAAACCCATTCTTCTGCAGTTCTGCATGCCAGAAGTTCAATGTTCCAGGTAAACTGTGTTCCTGCCCTGGCTCTGGCAGGTCCTTCCTGCCCCTCAGCTTCAGGTTACTCAGCCACTTCTGGCTTTGTGCCTTGACACTCTGACAGTCTGGAGATCTTCCTTTAACTCGTTCTCTCAAGTCTACTTTTGCTATTCTAACAAAATACCAAGGATGGAGAATTTATACAGAACAGAAATGTATTTCTGAGAGTTCTGGGGGCTGAAGTCCAGAATCAAGGCGCTGCAGGGTCACGGTTTGATAAAGGTGACTGCTTCTAAGATACTGCCTTCTCAGAGCATACTCCAGAGGAGAGGTCAAGCCCTGTGTCATCACATGGTAGAAAAGCCTTAACCAGTTCCTTATAGCCCTCTTGAAAGGTCTTACTCCACTCATGAGAGACCAGGAACCTGACTTAATCCCTTCTCCAAAGGCCTCGTACTTTTGGAGGGATACATGCCAACATAGCACTGTCTGGTTTCTGTCTTACAGGGGGAGTTGGCGTACAATTTACCTCCCAACTGTGGATAATCTAGGTTGACTTCATGTCGAAATCCTATTTCCAAACCCGGTCCCATACAGAAGTCCTGGCGTTAAGGTGTAGATATATGCTTTGAGGGGCACTGGTCATCCCTGTTAGGTAGCTCCCTGGCTCCAGGTCAACTGCACCCACTGACCAATCTACACAGCCCCCTCACTATCCAAGGACAATACTGAGAGGTGTGGCATGCAACTTGGTACATTTGGTGTTCATGAAGCCGTGTTGATGCTGAGTTAGGAACCAGTCGTTTACAGGTTCATTAGCATCCTCAGGACCCATGGAGCCCATGGAGCGTCTAAAGGGAGCATGGTGGCAGACTCTGGAATGTCACTGTGAGAGACAGGCGCTTGGAGGAGTGATTATGTAGCTCAATCCCAGAACATGGACCCACAATGAACACACATCTTGATCCTGATTTTTATCCATCTGGATTCATGTAGAATGCTATATTGGCAATATTTTGCAGGGTGGTTTAGAAATGGTGTTTGTTCAGAGAATGCATGATGGGATTTGAGTTCAGTACTCCCTGCTGGCCTTAGACAGTTGTCTAGAGCCTGGAGCTCATACTAAATGCTAGATATGTAGGAGCTACCACTCTCTTACTCTCCACTCACATTTCTATAGCCATCAAGGGCTCTGGCTGGACAGTGGGGACAACTACTCTACATGCTCAATCTTAGGCTTCCACTTAGTGACAGGGGCTTGTTGAATTCTTCATTTTTAGAAGGTATTTCTGTAACCCCCCCCCCCCACACACACACACAACCTTTACTGGTGGTTTTCCTCATTCTCTCATTCTAGAACTGTAAACCAGAAGTTTAAATGGTCACTCCTGAAAGTGGGCTGTATCCTTGTATTCCCTACCGAGGGGTAGTCAAGGCAACATTGTAAGGAAGGTCTGTGAATTGCAGGAAGGTAGGGATGCTGGGCAGCTGGGCAGAGCAGCCAGTGGCTTTGCGGAGTTCTGGGTCCATTTTTGTTGCATTAGATGGTGAATACAAAGAAGGACATGGCTGGGTAGAGGGGTCTAGGACTTTCCTCAGTTTCCTATCTTCCATAGATTCCTAGTCTCCTTGCCCAGGATTCCCCTCTCCTATCTTAAGTATGGGGTTTTCTGGGGTGTGTAGTCCTGCTCTGCCTGTAGTCCAGCTCAGGCCTGGAATATAGGAAATGTGTGGACATGGATACTGGGCTCCCCTTTCCCTACAATACCCAGGAGAATTGTGTTCTGTTTGACCTAGAAACAGTAAGAATTTGGTTCTCAAGTCACCCTGTAGGCAGCAACCTGGTCTTGGGACTCCTATCCTAGTGACTGTTCTGAGACCGTGTTACCATCCTGGTCAGCCCTAGTCATACTCTGGGCTGTAGGCCTCTGAATGAACTGTGTAGATGTGGCACGGGTGAAAAGGGGCCTGGCTGGGTCTCCTGATAGATTGGGCTTCTGGTATTGCCTCTGTGTGCCTGTAGGAGATTCACATTCAGAAAATGCCCACTTTGTGGGAGTTCACTTTGCACGGGATGGCTTTCTCCACTGATATAAGAGGCCACTCACATGGAGTAGCCCAGTGAGGAGCAGGGTGTATGGCTGTATTATTAATGAAACAAACAATTATCAAAGACTGTGTTGTGTATAAGTACACTCTGAAGTACAGAGCTTGTACAGGGAAGGCTGCCTACGTCCACCCTCAGACACTCTCTAGCGCTGGTGGGATGTGTCTAGATCCCACACGGTCAGCCTCACCCTGTTCTTACATTGGGTCCCACAGGACTCAAGCCTTGGTGGGATGTAGAGAGGAGAAAGAAGTGAGTTCCGAGTGGACACTGTCCATATCTTCTCATCTTAGACAGACTTCTCTTGTCTTTCTAATTGGCTGTCCCTGGCCTCACTTTTGCTGATGAAGCCTGTGGGCCTAAGAACGGCTCATCTGGTGGTCAGGGACTGAGTGGCGTGTGTCTTATTCATGGACACTCATCACATTCACGGATGCCTTCTCTGCTCATGGGCACCTTGACCTGGTTGTAGGAATCTAGTTGTAGTAATAGATTCCTTTCCCTGCTTACAGTCAATTTTCTGATCCCCTCCTTCCCATTTCTACTGTCATTGGGCTGTGCCCTGAGGTATGTAGCAGTTGATTCTTGGTGACAAAGTCTTTCTTTGTCACGTTTAGGTTTTTCTTTCTTTTTTGATGGTAGAGGTACATGTGTACAAGGTTTTCATTCTGAAAAATGGAGTCCAGTTGATTTCCTGTGGGCTTCCTTCCCTTGGCAAGGAAGACTTGGGGTATATGGGATGCAAGAAACCCTGCCTGAGTTAAAGGGTCCTCAGGGTTTGCAGAAAATCCTGTCTCTGGCATCTGCCCATGTGCCCTCCCACTGAAGATCTGTAATTCTACCTCTAGTTGGCCTCCCCTGCCCTCCTCAGGCCTGGTCTGAAGATGCAAATCTAGTAACATAGTCTGTCCCTACACTCAGGGCTGCTGTGGATAAATTACCATCTCCTGTCCTCCTGACCCCTCAGGAAACATAAGCCGTCATTGCTGGGTCACAAGCTGGTGCCCCTGTTCTCCTCTACCACACCCACTCTCTTGGCTCCCCAGGCAATCACTGTTGAAGGAGACTGGTCCAGAAAGGGGCGCATGCTGGTAGGATGAAGTTTGGGGTATATTGCTCCTGGCTGAGAGATAATAAATCATAGGCTATCAGGAAAGGGTTACAAGGCACAGCCTCATAGGACTCATACCTTGGAAGTGCAGAGTATACCTGAGAACTTGTCCCTTTACAACCACAGTTGGTGCCTTCCTGGAACCTCTTCTAAATGGCCTAACTTCCCTGATGGAAATTGTAGGGACATGATGGGACACACTAAGGTCTCTTTAAGTTTTAAGTTTTCCTCAGATGCTGTGGGGCAGGAAAACCAGAAGGCCAGAGTCTTTGAATGGAGATGGGGAAACACTGCAGCCAGCCATAGGGGAATGTAGGGGAGAATTAATCCTCTAGGCCTCCATATTCCAGGATACCTTGGGTGAGGCCTCAATTCTCTCCAGATTCGGTTTTTTTTCTCACTGCTGCCATCATGAGCTAATGGAGCAGGTCACACTAGAAAGACGGCCTGTGGATAAGAGCCCTGTGTCCTTACAGTCTACTCTGATAAGGCAGAACGAATAATAGTCTATTTGTCTTTGGATAGCCACAGTTAGGACCTAACCCACTGTTACTTTTACTTTTAAAAACTTTTATGCTATGCTATGCAGGCAATACATGTTCAGGGTAAAACAAAGCAAAGCTGGAAGCAGAGTTTGGAGGCCTAATTGCAGCCCCTAAGGTACATTCTGAGCACCACCCAGGGAAGGGTCTCAACTCCTGTTTCAGCCTAACCTTTGTGCAAATGTAACTACTGGTGCCTCATGGTTGCTATGCAGTAACTCATGCTGGGTTGATCCTGCTGAAAAATCTTGGCACTGGGGCTTTAAAATAGTGTGGCCATGCTGTCAGCTACTCAGTGAAGCCATAGATGTCAGCTGCTCTGCCACAGGGTCCAAAAAACTCCAGGCTGACTTATCCCAGGGTTGAGTTTAGACAAGTTCTGCTTTCCAGATGAGAAGCAACTTGGATGTCACTTCACTCTCCTATTGATTTGTGCAGGTATCTTTCAGCCTGAGCTGCTGCCCTGACTCCTGAGTGATGATCACTCATCTTCCTAGAGTGTCACAGCAACTAATAAGCGCTCTGAGCTCCCTCTGCAATCCCTAGGGAGGAGTCCTACCCAGAAGCCTTTATCCTACATCAGATGAACAGTGGTGGGGCAGCAAGTGAGGGCCATCCCCTGCCCTGGGACCTGTTCACTATCTCGCGGGGTCAGTGTGCTGTAGGAACCTAGACAGAACACAGAGGAGTGGCCACATCCGAGTGAGACATATGCCCTCACTGTCCTAATGTGCCATCACCCTGATGTTGGTTTGCTCGCAGTTCTTTTGCTTGGTTTGAATTTGTTGCTCGCCAGGACCTTACTTGGTTTGAGTCCGTCGCTTGCCTTAGTGTCCTGCAGTCCTCAGAAGGGCAGAGCCCCTCTCGTGTTTCAGTATCCTGTGAAGGCTGGGACAGAAGCTCAGATAACCTATCAGGTGCATGGAGTTGATTCACCATGAGTCATGTCTAGTGGGGATGAAGGAACTCCTGAGCTTCAACTCTCATTTAATCCTGCTGTCCTCATCTGCCCTGTTTTGCTGCCCCCCTCCACCATGAAGCTCCATTTTGGGGTGAATTGGAGTGCCTTAAGAAGAGGCTCTCATTAAAAAGACTGAATTTTTCCGTTATGCTTTTATTACCATTTTCAAAGGGGGTGAGCAAGAAGGGGATCTGGCTTTGTGGCTAACTGTCATCTGTGTTATTCTGGATGTTTATGCAACTCATACCATTGAGAGTTCAGCAGGGGCCACAATTCACATAGTGGTGAAGATATGCCTTGGCCACATTGGCATTGAAATCTCCAGTCTGGACAGGGCCTGCATGTTTCAACTTCGTCACTGACCCTCTGTGGAGTACGTGCCGGTACCAGGAGTTCTTGTTGTATTGAGCTGTTAAGCATTCAGTTCCCAGAGAGATGCTAACTGGGAGCTCAACATCCCTGCTCCCCAAGCTGGAAATGGCATGTGCCTGCCCTTGCTGGAACAATAGTGGCCATGTTGGGGGTCACTGAATATCCTTGTGTTCCCAAGTCTTGCTGGGAGGTGGCACTACTTTCTCAGTCTTCTTAGTCCTCAGGGATGTCTGCCTGCCTTTGGAGTCAACAGTCCACAAAACTCCAAGACTATGACTATACTTCAGGCTTCTTTATGGGTTCCCTCCTCTGAGCCCAAGGGTCAACCACATGTTCTAGGATCCCAGAGCAGGTCCTTATTGTGTGTCTCCAGGGTCATTTGCCACCCCAAAGCATGGCTCAGTTCTGTTCAGAAGACTCAGATTTGAGGGACAGTAAGCATAGCATGAACACTGTCCCGGATCCTAAGGTTGGCATCATTTTATAGACCCTAAGCATCCCTCCAGACAATCGCCCACAGCAGGTGAGACCCAGGGAGGAGGCCATGGAAGTGCAGCTGGTGGGGTAAAGGCAGAACCCACTTTTGCTGAGTCAGACCCTATCTCCTTTGCCTAGAGTGTGCATGTGTCAGGGTGGCAGGGTCAGTGCCAGGTCCTACAGCTGAGCCAACACTGCTGGGCATCCAGCTCAAAGGGGTCCCAACCCCCAGAGAGGGTGTTTTTCAGCTCTTGCCATATCTTGTTGCCTGGTACCACATACTGCAGCTAGAACCAGGAACACAGATGGGCTGTGAGAAGCAGAATGACCCTTTTCTTCTTCTTCCCTAGCAACATGGCTGACAGCAAGGCCAAGCCTGCCAAAGCTGCCAACAAGACACCACCCAAGTCCCCGGGAGACCCAGCCAGGGACAAGACTGCCAAGAGGTTGTCACTGGAGTCAGAGGGTGCCAACGAGGGGGCAGCTGCAGCCCCTGAGCTCAGTGCCCTGGAGGAGGCCTTCCGGCGGTTTGCCGTACACGGGGACACCAGGGCAACGGGAAAGGAGATGCATGGCAAGAACTGGTCCAAACTGTGCAAAGACTGCCACGTGATCGATGGGAAGAATGTGACTGTCACGGATGTGGACATTGTCTTCAGCAAGATCAAGTAAGTGTCGTGCAGGCTTAGGTAGCACAGTTCCTGTCAGTAGCGGTGAGGGTCTGTGAAGGGTCTTGCTTGCAGATTCTGGAGGCTTGAAGCTAAGAAGTGTGTACAGAGCCTGTAGTGTTTGGGACAGTCTGAGGAGCACACTGGCCCTAAGTGCCTTGGAACTCCTTGGCCATGTCCTGAGCTATGGTCCTAGCCTCAGTCTGTTTGGCCTTGGATGTAGCCAGGGTTGGGGATTCTAGCCTTGAGAAAACTTAATTAACTCTAATCAATACCCAGGTTAGTGAGCTGTTGCTCAGGATCTGCTTAGGTGAGCAGAGACCCAGCCACCGTTGGTTGTGTCTATGAAGTTAGTGTGAGGCCAGGCCTGTTTAGCCTTGTTTCCAGGATATGGTCGTGGCTCGTGACACCCTCTTTCAGCTCTTTGTCCATCTCTGTTAATTTTGTTCTTAAGAAATGCTGACACATGCAGCTAAAGTGATAGGGATCAGAGAACGGCCATTCATCCCGTGTTGTCAAACATCAGTGTTCTGTCAGGTCCTGTGGTTGATCTCTGTGGGTGATACTAGCTGAGCATTACTTCCTCCTCTGGCTTTGGGTTTATGATCACCACTTTGCTTGTGGAATTGTTGGTGTTCTCTAAGTACAGAAAGTCTTCCCTGTCCCCGGGTTGTGTACTTTGTGTACTCATGCCTGGAGGAGAAAGGAAGAGGTGCCCTGGCAGATGAACTCTTCCTGAGAACTCCAGCAAGTATCTCATGCCAGGAATTCCTAAATTCCTGGCAAAGTGGAGGGATTTAACATGTGTCCCAATGGGAAGTGGTGAAGTAAGCCAGATTATCAGATACAGGGTACCATGACCAGGGGGTTTGGGATATGGGCATCTTCCTGCTCCAGATGAAGCCTTCCTCCAGATGCTGGTTGAGAGAGATGAAGGCTGAGCCAGAAACTTCAAGGTCCTGGCACCTAGCAAGGGACTCTGGAGATTACTGAGCCAGAGCCTGGCTGTCTCCACCCATCCCAATGCTGATATCAACTGAGAGTTTGAGACTCTGCAAAGCAAGAAAATCTCAGTCCCATCTTCCCTACAGAACTTCTTATTGTACAAAGTATACAAGTGTGTGTGTGTGTGTGTGTGTGTGTGTGTGTGTGTGTGTGTAGAATCTTAGGTGTGAATGGTTGTAGAACCATTCAAAGGCTGAGAAAGACTGAGAAATGTATCCCCAGGGGCTCTGCATCCTGACCCTCTCCAGGCCCCACTGACCAGAGCTGGTCCATTCTCCTTGTTCTGTCTCCCCGTGGCTTCCAACCCCAATGAACAGCTGGAGAAGAGACTCTCCATGGAGCCTTACCTTCTGAAAGCAGATGCTGTGTGTGCCCTAGTTACCCCTAGACCTGTTTCCCATCCATCTCAGGTCCTGATCCTGTGATGTCTTAGACCTACTTTGGCCTGAAGTTCAATTATTGTAGGTTAGGATTTGAGAAAAAATTTGTGGCTAGTAGCTCAGATGTGATCACTTCACCCTACTGTGCACCTACAAAAGCGCTCATCTTTGTTTTCTGGCCAGGTTCCATTGAGATAATACTGGCACCAGTTCCCCATCTAGGACACACTTGGCCAGGGGTCCTATGTACTTCTAGACTGTGGTCCTTGGGTTTCTTAACACTTCTTTCTCCTCAGCTTCATCTGTGTGCAATGCTGTGTGACCCTCACAGAGGAGGGTCTACTGAACATCATGTATTCATTCCATTGCTTTTATGGGAAGGCCCAAGACAAAGTGTCAGGAGATGGCTCTTTTCCCTGAGTCCCTAAATAGAACAACATAGTCATTGGAGATGGGAGTCATGAGGAGTTTACAGAGTATAGACAAGCATATGCATGCAGCAAGATGTCTATCAGCTTGAAGGACCTCCATACTGTTGTTACTGCTCCATAGATGACCTAGAGATCTTGACGCTTGTAGTCCCTGTGACCCTCTAAATTTCACCAAAGTGACTGCCCCCAAGTTTGGGTACTGACACCCACCATGGGCCTTGTCTGTGGGGGACTTTCCCAGGCTTGGTAGAGCTCATGATGCTGGTCACATGACCTATCCTGCCTGTCACCTGGGAATGTGCAGCCTTCTCAGAGAAACTGGCCTTATGGGTTCAACTGGACAGTTCCAGGCAGGCAGGGACAGGCAGGTGGGTCCTAGTAAGCAGAGGTGCTTTGGTAGGCTGGCCAACCGTGAGTGAGGGGCACTGACCCAGGCTGTAAAAATGATTAGCCCTAGAGCCTCTGATACAGACAATTCTTTCATTCTGGTGCTAAGAGCTCATGCTAGGCCAGTAGACGGGTCCTGCAACACTGAGACCTAGAAAACCTAGGCTAGCTGTGTCTAGCATGTGCATATAGTTAAAGCTGATTGTTTTATGGACCTCACCACCTTGTCTAAACTGGCAAATGAACTTGGACAGCTCCTCACCTTATCTCTACCCATGTTCCTTATCCACCAGCAGGTGGCCCTTACAGACCCAGCCATGAGCTTTCCAGAACCCCTGGAAGCTGTTCCTATACTGGGAGCACACAGGGTATGCCAGTAAGGCCAGTGAACTATTCCTGCTCGTCTCCTTAGACAGGCCCCCATGGCACCGAGTCCTCAGTAAAACCAGTGTACAAAATAATCAAGAACTCAAGAACAAGGAGACCCAGAGACTTGTGTCTATGAGGGCACTTTTTCTAGAAGGTGTTGTTGGAAGGCAGGAAGAAGTGACCTGCGCAGAGGTTCGTCAGCTCCTCCTCTACCTGAAGAGGAGAGGAGGAGCTACCTTCCAGCTGTTGTGTCCTTGAGCTGTGCACCCCACCCCATGTAGAACTTGTGTTTCTAAGCCTCCCCGTGGGTGGTGATATGTGGTTATGAGTCCTTTGGATGATGTGGGTCAGAGGACTGAGAACTCCAGCTCCACATGCCCTTCCTGCTATGTGGGTGGGGAGGGCACTAGACTCATATGAGTGAGCCATGTGAAGGGAATGCTTATTCCCAGACTGCAGACCTTCAGACGCTCAGACTCTAGGACAGAGCCATTCCTAGACTCTGGGATGCCTGGGAACCTGGGTGGGTTCCTGCCTTACAAGTCAAGGTCCTGGAGAGCAAGTCCATGCAGAAGCCCAGAGAAATCCCAAGACTATGCTAGTCTAGGCAGACAAGCTATACATGCTGTATGTTCTAACACCAGATGTGCTTGCTAACACTATGGAACACACCGAGGCAGGTGTCTAGCTGGGTGGCTGGGGAAGCCCAGGTAAGGATCCTGCACTAGAGGCCCAGAAACTCTAATGTTCCTTTTGCCTTCACACCTGGATCCTTGAGACCCTAGAGGCTGCCATTCCTTCACCTATACCATCTTTGAATTCTCCTTCTCTCTCAGAACCTGGGCTCTGCTGAGGTTCTTTATGACCTATGTCCCACTTGGGACATCTCTGTTCTTGAGGAAGAGCCTCGCCTCAGGCAAGTGTGAACAGAAGATTCAGACTCAGGTTGTCCTCAAGTATAGGGGGACAGTAACCTGAACACCAGGGTGATGGGAGAATACTGAGAGGGATCCACAAAAAGGACTGGGGAGCTCTGGGATTGAGATTTCCAGGAAAACTGTGGCTGTGGTAGCACTGTTGGTATTATGAAAGCTGGGTGTTTGTGGTCCCTTGAGGGACAGCAATGGCAGCTGCAGAGCCTTTGCCTCCTATGGGAGTTTGGGGCCTGGGAGGAAATTGCTTAGGTACCTCCAGGAAGTTGCTGACTCTGACAGGACTTGAGAGAAAAAAAAGTTCAACTATTTCTGTTTTGGGGCAGGTTGCCATGGCTCTGCAGGCGTGGCGCCAGCTGGGGTATCTGCAGTCTTTGTTTAGGTCCTTGTCACCATGGCAGCGCTTGTTTGTTTTGATGTTACTATGTGTTAAATTTTAAACAAATTTCTCGAAGCTCTATACCAACTTTTATTGTGGACTACTCCTGTTAACCTAGACTCTCCATCCTGCAAAAGGCTCAGCATGGCCAGACTCCATGCGGTTAATGGAGACCTGACCCCGAAGCAAGGCCAGTGGGGGCCCTAGAGATCGTATCCCTGTGTGGCTGTCTACAATGGGTCTGTGTTCCTGAGTGTCTGGTGTGTACCTGTATATGCTTGTGGAAGAAAACGTGCAGGAACCTAGGCTGGGCTTACCTACTACTGCCTCCTTACTTTGACCAACATACTACCAGATGAGGAAGCCCAGAAATCTTTGGCATTCCAGGGCCTGGATTGGGTGCTGGGTGCCCTCCAGAGTAAAGGCACGGATTCCTGCCAATACTACGCAGAGTCAGAAAGTAACTTGGCTGGGGTGTCAGGGCTGGGTGTCCATTATGTCTAGATATAGGTCAGAAGGCAGCAAAGCCAGTCCCTACATGTAGAAAGCAGGGTCTGGATTTGTTTAGCCTGAGGATTTGTCAGCCGCTGCTAAGTATATGAACTTGGTCTTCCTTACATGTCACAGCTAGCCAGCAAGGCCTGCTGGGATCCTTCTGACATCTGTATGTTGCTGAAGAGGTTCAGCATAGCACCCACCTAGGCTAATGCAGCTCATTACTCCTAGGAACAAGCCCTAGGACTCTGAAGAGAGTCCTAACAAGAGTTTTGGAAACCCACGGGAAGGACAGGGCTCTGTGTGTACCCATTCAAACATCACAGAAATCCAGGTGTCAGGGACCCTGGACATGTGAGAACCCTTGGAGGCAGCCTCTGTTCCTGACTGTGGGACCCACCCAGTTCCATTCACCTATGGCACACATGTTCCTGGAGCTCCTCCTTCAGGCTCTACTTCCTGGGTCTTGGGTAAGATTAACAGTCACATGATCTAGGGGAAAGTGGCCTGACCCTGCAGGCCTTGAATGGAGCAAGATCCAGCCGGCACCCTAGTCTTCAGGTGTCCCCGTGTCTGGAGACTTGCTATTCTTACTTCTGCATGGCCCTCTAGTGGCTACACATGGCAGTGCAGAGTGACCTCTTAGATGCCTGTGGGGAACTCAGGGTTCTGACCTCTGTTGGGGGATAGACAGGGGATAGACATGTAGATTTTTTTTTTTTTTTTTGCCAAAGTCATTGAGTTAGTGGTCCCTGTGGTCAAGACTTCATCTGCTCTGGTGAGTCTGAAGTAACCAGGTAAGGATCAGATGCATCTGTTGTGATGAGAGGCAGCTTCCTGCACCTTAGCTCCTCCACCTTGCCTTGAGAGAATGAATACCTATAAGCTGTCTGAAAAGCTGTAGGAACACCTATCCTCATGACTTACCCCCTACTCAAACCAGGTCAGAGCCGTGAGGGGTGGGGGTGAGCAGATGTGGTGCTCATTTGGGGTCACCTGGAGAATGTTTATCCCTAACATCCAGTCCTTCGGAAAACACAGAGACAAATGAGAGGAGGCTTTAAAGATGATTTGTTCCCTAGAGAAAGAAGTGGCAATGCTGCAGGTCACAGATGCCCCCTCTGGGCAAGCACAGACATGGCATGTGCCCAGAGCATTGCCACAGCAGTGTTGCTGCTTGGCCTCTGATTTCCTGAACCAGGCAGAGTCCCTGTGACTGACTGGCATCTAGGCCCCTCTAGGCAGAGAGCACATCGCCTGCTCCTAAGGGATTCCTTGAGCCCAGTGACCTGCTGAGGGTACAGAGAACTGACGGCCCAAACTTTCATTGTCTTTGGCATAGAGCCCAGGATGGGTAGTCAGTGGGTATGGGAGAGACCTGATAGAGAATGGTGTCTGAGGAGAATGACCAGATTTCTGCACCTCCCTTGAACATATCTGAAGAGTCAGAGACAATGGTAGCAACAAGAAATTCAAGGTCCAGGGCAGCCAGGGCTGCTCTGTGGTTCAGCAGGCTCAGGTCAGCTCCTGCGTTGTTCCTACAGAAAGCCCCCCAGAAGGGGTTCCTATGAGGAAACATTCCTGCAGGGCAGGATCCTGGCTTAGATGGTCCCCATCACCAGGGATCCCTTCCAGATCCTTCAACTGCACTCAGACCACATGTATAGAGAGGGTCTATCTTTCTACTCCTCAGAAGCACCTTCTCTGCCTGCATGGTATCTAGCTATAAACCGCAGGAACTAAGAACTCAGGCACCCCTGTCTTGTCCTGTGTGCTCCACTGTTTCTCCAGTTACAAGTTTCGTTACTTGAGTGTAACTGGAGTTATAAGAGTTATTACACAGGCCTCGACAGGGACCCTTCATAAAGGTGGTGAACAGACAAGGGGCTCTGTGAAGGTCCAAGCTGAGGTGGGGAGTGGTTGTGTTTATGGTACTGGCCACAGAGGAACAGACCTTCCTCAGAGGGTTGTGCTGCCTGATGCTGGGTCTTGACCCCGCCCCTCCAGTCCAGGTCCTAGGATTCCCAAGAGATTGAGAAAGTTCCCTACACATATGGGGGCAAAATGTAGGAAACAATCCCAGGCTCCTGGAGTAAATTTGGGCAGACACCCACTTGTAGGCCAGCTTCAGACAGGCTGGGAGTCAAAGGCAGGAAAGGCCAAACCCTGGGAAGAGGCCCTCAGTCCTGGGCGCTCTAGATATAGGCTCACTGTATAAGAGAAACCTGCAGAGGTTTTCACACTGTGAGGGAGAAATGAGCATTGTCTTCCCAGAGCTAGGTGGGGATTCTGCTTCAAGAAGTGCCTGGGTCTCCCGGGAAGAGTTCTCTGTGAACTGAGCACCAAGACAGGACCCACTCTCCCCAACAACGCAGTTAGACTTGTGGGGACACAGGCCAGAAAGGGATTCTTGGTACCAGTGGAACAAGCATCCAGCTCTCTCTGAATGTGGCCTGTGATGGAAGAGTCCCTGCAGCTACCCCATCCCCCAGTGACTCATGCTGGTAGTGCCTGGTGCTGAGGCTGCCCAGAAAGGGCTGTGTGCCCCAGCAGCAGGTTGCCAGGCTGGCCTTTAGGCCTGGCATCCTCATGTCAGCCCAGGAAGGGTTGGGAGTTGGAGACAAGAGTGCCTTTGACTTCTCAGGACAAACAGAGCAGCCCCGAGGGGCCTTAGATCAACACACACCCCTAAAGTCCTAGTAGAGAGGGAAAAGCTGTCAGCTCCAGGCACCACTGGACTGGGAGGTCAAGCTGGTCAAGTGCCCTGAATCACCGAGTATTGCAAAGGTAGCTGGTAAGTGCTGGGGCTGAGAGCACTGAAGAACTGGAACCCACCCTCTAAGGCACAGGCATCTACTGAGGCCCCATTGTGTTGTATCCTGGATCCAAGTGTAATGCCTCAGTGGTTTCCCCAATCTCCTGAGTATGGGATTCTGTGCATTTCCCTAAGGACGTTGGCTCAGCTCTCCTGATTGTTTGGTTAGAATGCCCTGTGTGTTCAGGACTAGAGTAAAGTGTGAGACTCTTCTAGGACCAGCAAAAATTCAGGGTGTATTTTCATGTCTAGTTCCTTAGCCCAGCCACTAGGGGTCCACTTTGTTATTGCGTGTGTCCTCCCAGTGCTTTATTAGGTCACTGCTAAAGGACATTTGGGTGGTTTTCAAGTTTGAATGACTGAAGAAAATCTGTATATTTACAAGTGGGTTTAACATGAGCTTAAACCTTCGATTCTCTTGAAGCAGCTCCCCCCACCACACACACACAAAGACTGGCTCATGGTCATTCCTGCTTGGTGTGCAGCATTCAGTTTCTCTCATTACTTCTGCTATTCCCGTGGGTGACTTCCTGTGTGTGATGGTTGCCCATCAATGGGTTTTTGTTGGTGAGGTGTTTGGTTCAAATACTTGGCCCGTTTGAAATTTTCTTTTCTTACTGTTAAGTTCTTCACATATTTCAGATACAAGCTTCCTTTAAAATATGTACGTCCCAAGTTTTTTGTGTTTGCAGCTCTGGTATTTATCTTAATGTCACTTGAAAGAACATGGCTCTCAATACTCTCAAATCCAGTCAGCCCGTTTTCTATTACTGAACATGATGACTTAGCATCATTTCTTAGAAGACCTTGCCCACCCTAAGGTCACCCAGGTTATATACCAGATATACTTGAGGAACTTGGCTCTGGGGTCATGCTCTGAGTACACTCTGCATGTGGTGTGAGCTGTGGATCCTAGTTGGTTTATTTTGCAGATGTATTTGTTATTTTTTTTAATAGTCCCTTTCTCCTTGACCTTGTTCCAGTTAGGCACCTGTGTGGGCATTTCTGGACTCGAGATACACTGATCTGTATGTTTCAGACCTTAGTATCTCTCATGCTGTCTCCTTCATGGAATAGTGTAGTCTCAGGCCTCCAGCTTTTTGTTTTCTTTACCTCTTCTTGGCTTCTCTGGATCCTATGCTGATGGACAGCCGTGAAAGCCCCACTGGGATTTTGCCAGCCAGCAGTTTGTAAGTCCTGAACTCTTAGCTCTAGCTAGAGTCAGTGGCATACCTGGCTACAGAAGGTAGCTTATTGTGGGCCATTTGATCAAAACTCCACAGCATCATGCAGTACTGGCACATCTGTGCCTCATTCACATTATGTCAAAACACTGAAACTTCACTAATTTGGATTAGTTGCAGGTGAATGCCAAGTTGAAAATACTTTAAAGTAAAATTACTACAAATAACTTCATAACGTTTTAAAATACTTCCTGAATAGCCTTTGCAGGGAGGATTCTGTGAACTGACAGGCTATCTGAGATGCTCCCTGGTGGCTGGGCGTACATGGTGTGTGAGAGCTCCAGCTCGAGTCATCCTGCTGACCAGGTTGCTCAGCACTGCTCAGCACGGGTCTTACGGCTCCTTCCAAGTGTGCCTACTATAACCATGGACTTAGGCTCCACGGGCCACTTCTGACCCAGGTTTAGGCCTGGGCTCCCTCCTGCTCCTTGACTGTTTAGGGTGTCTCTGGAAGAGATAAGAGGATCTTCTTTCCTAGTTTTCCCTCTGCTCTCCCACCCAAAAGAGATCACAGTGCCTATTGTGGAACAGACAGAAAAGTCCTGACACTTGGCAGTTCTTAAAGAACATGCTTCCTTATTGTTTCCAGGCTGTTGGCAGTTGCTGGTGACTTTTGGCTGTGATCAGTAGGAATCACTGCAAAATGCAGGAAGGGGTGGTATGCATGCGGGATTGGTCCCAGAGGACTGCTGCCTGAGGACTTACGAGCTCTGTTACCCACAGAGGGAAGTCCTGCAGGACCATCACCTTCGAGCAATTCCAGGAGGCGCTAGAGGAGCTGGCCAAGAAGCGGTTCAAGGATAAGAGCAGCGAGGAGGCTGTGCGTGAGGTGCACCGGCTCATTGAGGGACGAGCGCCAGTCATCTCTGGTGTCACGGTGAGGGAGTGAGGCACGGGTGGGGTGAGCACTCATGATTGCATCTGACTTTGGGGAAACCATGGCCCCATAGACTTATTAGTCCCATAAGTCTGGGGCTAACCTGGGGCCAGGGGAGGTGATCCCTTGTCTGGACCTATGGCTAGAAGATTTACACCCCTTGCCAGCTCTTCCTACAGCCCCTGCCACCACCCACTGAAATGTGGCAATTCTTACGCAGCTCCCTCACTTGGTGTGTATTAACACCCTCTTCTGCTCTCTTTCAGAAAGCTGTGTCCTCACCTACGGTGTCACGGCTCACAGACACAACCAAGTTCACAGGCTCCCACAAAGAGCGCTTTGACCAATCAGGAAAGGGCAAGGGCAAAGCTGGCCGCGTGGACCTGGTGGATGAGTCAGGTTATGTGCCTGGCTACAAGCATGCAGGCACCTATGACCAGAAGGTGCAGGGGGGCAAGTAGCCTTATAGGCCGAAGCTCTGAACACTGCAGGTGCCAGGCACAGGACTGAAACCCATTGCACTTCATTACATTCCTATGTTCAACTGGGCAGAACTCAAAATGCACCTCCCCTAGGCAATGGTGGGGGCAGTGCCCAGGCCTCCTCCTGCTGGGTGCTTTGACACTTCTCTCTCAGACCCCAGGTGTGGGCCGCGATTCATTGTCCTTTCCTAACATACCTGCTCTGTCCACAGCTGGGAAGTGGACTGCTATTTCCAAACTGTCTCCCAGGATCATACCACACTGGCCACTTGATCTGCAGGTAACAGGGGGTGTTTGAGGCATTGGTAGGCATAAGGATGAGCAGAGCAGACATCAGAACTCACACTGACTTATCCAGACACTTCTAGGGCAGTGGGAGCTAAGGAACTAACCAAGTGCATAGAGTAATCCTAAACAGGCCTCTTTCCTGACCACGGGAAGTGACTGACACTACTGGTTGTTGTGTCACTGTGTATGTGGAACAGCTCACATTAGTACACATGTGCACACAAACACACACAGACACGCACACACATATACGTGCTCATCAACCAAGTCTGTGCTGAGAGTGGTCAAGAGACAATGGACGCCTGGTGACCAGGGGAGTGACTTGGAACATGAAGCTGGAAGATTTTCAGTGCCGTTCTGAGAAAGGCTAAGACTATGTGCTTGGTCTCAAGAGTGATCCACAGAGACCCAAAACATGAAGCTGCCATGACTTTCTCCTTGTCCTGTCCCATTATCAGCTTGGGACACACAGGATGCTGAGACATTTGGTCAGGACCAGGCCTGTGCAGTTGTTCTACTGGGTTGAGATGGGAGCTTTTGCCAAGGCAAGTTATGCTGTGCCTTGTTCAAAAGTATGTATCTTCAGCTTATGAAGCCACCTCTGGGCTCAGTTTTCCTAACCTTTCTCTTGAGTGCAAATGCAGGGCACTGGACATTAGAACTAGCCCCCCAAAAAGACTTGTAGCATTTACTAGGGGTTCTTTTTCTGCCACAGGAGAGAACACACGACTCAGCTCATCCATGTGTGAGGGCACCACTTAGGCAGGCCCAAAGGCATGAGCCACTATCATTACAGTCCCACAACAACTGTTCCTTTGCATTAACACAACCCTACCCTTGCATGAAAATGAAACTTGCTGAACTATGTGGTCTTGTTCTTAGAAAGCACCCGCAGTGGTCTCAGGACATGGCTACCAGCGCAGGTGGTTGTTGAGGATGGGACATCTTACATGGCTTGGCACAGCACAAGTAGACAGCAAAGATGCCTTCCTCATGGTCACAGCACAGTTGCATTATTCACTCCTCTGGGGCCTAGAGAGCATGCCTTCACTGCAGCATGAGGGAAGACTGCCTACTAACCTGAGCGAGAAAGACAAGCCCCTCAACACAGCCACAACTGGAGGGTGGAGACAGTCCAGTAGTCAATGTCGTCCAAAGATTCTGGGAGTCTGCAGTACCTGGCATTAAAAACCAAGTAATGGCGCCTCCATTCTGAAATCTGACCTTGCTGGTCTGGTGAAATAAAAGGACACTGGTACTTCTCACACCCTCCTCCAGAACCCCTAGTCCCCACATGGCTGGTAGTCTCTTGATCTGAGGCTGTTCTTTTCTACTGCCTATGAACAGCCTAGTTGAGTGAATTGGAACACATGCAAACCCATCAGGAGGTGACTGCATATCAGGTCAGGGCAGAGGGACAGGCTAGGGTAGTATCTGAGGATCCCCATACCATGCAGTGGTCAGATGTTTTCCTGACCCCGTAGTGTATTCTAGACACAGCCTCCTATTCAAAGGGCTGAGATGCTGGACTGATATCCAGATGAAGATCCAGACCAAACCCTCGGTTGCCTGCCTAGGAGCATCTAGGAAACAATGCAAATGTGCAGCCTCATGGAGGAGATTCGCTATCAACTGGCCACCTCGCCTAAGGGCTGGGGACTGAACAGAACAGCGCAGAGTGGCAAGTCCATAAAGGTTCTGGGCAGAAGGCCAGAACTACCATCTCAGCTCCCAGCCCTCACCCCCAATGACATCCTCGGTAGAAGATAAAAACTTCAGAATGCATTTGGGTCTGGGTAGTTGTTCCACCAGTGTGAGATGGGAGTTTTTGCTCTGATACAACTTGGGCTCTGTAAATGAAAACTGGGTCACTGCCTTGCTGGCCCTCACTGTCCTCGCACAGAACCTAAGGACAGTTCTAGGCCCTCCCATGTAGTCCCTTGGTAGCACCCAGAATTACGCCAGACAAGTGGTCTTCATTGTGTCCCTTCTTACCCCAGTTTCCTCACACAGCACCTTTATTTAGTCAGTGTTAAGTTTAACTTTGAAAATACACCCTCCCTCTAGATGATGTCATCTAGCAAGGAAAGGGGCAGTAACAATTAGATCACGAAGACTTAGTGTTTTCATATTGTCAGTTTAAAGTGTCTGTGAAATCTGTGTGTCATCTGTGTACCCTCTCGACATAGAAACTGATCGGACTCCAGCTCTTCTGCACAAAACAGATGTGCATTCTCCTCAGTTTCTGATTTGAACACACAGGTAGGGTGTTTGTCTCTGTTGCATGTTTTATGCGATACCAATTAGCTTTTACTAATCATGGATAAATAGAATTCAGTATCTATCTGTGAATAAAAAAAAAACCCAACAACTGCATAGCATGTAAACTGAGATCCAGGGCCATGTGCTATTAGGTGACAGGTCCTTTCAGAGGATGACAACCAGGAGATGACCTTTTTTCTGGAGGGGACACCTAGGAGACAGAGACATACTCTGCTGTGAGCTGACACCCAGGAGACAGAGGCAGGTTCTCTTAAGGTGTGGCAGCAAGAAAACAAGGAGAGGTTCTGTCAGGAGCAACACTCAGGGACATGGGTTGGAGTGACAGAGACGTTCTGTTGGGGCTGACACTCAGGAGAAAGAACAATGCAAACGGTATCTTAAGTGTCAGGGAAGGAAGGTAGGCAGGTAGGAGGTGCTTGCGAGCACTGACTCTAGTAGAATACTTATTTATTTCTATTTAATACTATAAGATAAGCAACTAGTTAGTGGGAATGTTTTACCAAAATCAAAGCTCAAATTACATGTTTAAATATTGTTGAAAGATCTATATTTATACTGGAGTATTTTTACACCTTTCAGTATCCTGTCTTACACGGGGCATAGGGACATTACGACGGATGGAGACAGCTATGAAATGGGCTGCACTTTCCTGTAGTCTCTTCCAGAGAGATGACGGTGCCTGCCCTGGGCTAAGACTCAACCTTCCCACTTCGAGAGGCCCTGGGCTGCTTCAGTGCCTGTTTTAATGAATAGTCTTACTGGCACGCAACTGTACCCATGCATCTACATACTGTTCTGTAGCTGCTTCTGGCATTAGAACTGGCTGGGAAGATTGAGGCAAATGCCACGGCACAGACACCTATGGTATTTTCCACCTGTCCCCTTTCAGGAAAAACTGCCTGTCTGTCTGCCTGGCCCGCTCTCTCTCTCTGCAGACTTGTATACTACCTGGCTACAGCATGGGCACATGGGAAAGTCCTGCCAACACCTTTTAAGTATGGCAAGGGTGACAATTTAGCTGTACTGTGAAGACATCAATAGATGGAATATCCTCCCAACACTGAGCCAAACTGCTCTTCTTCACCAATATACTACTGACCATTCTGAACTTCATGGTTCAGGGGTGTGGCCATCTTGGGACGCTTAAATTATCTCTTCCTTTAGACCTCTTAAACTAAACCAAGCCAAACAACAAAGGAAGCCTGTACAACTTAAACTTGAAAGGAATAATATGCTACTACTACTAGTTTGTACTAAGTTTTTTTTCAAGAAAGGGAGTTAAGTTTATATATATATGTGATATATATTTTTACACTATTTTATTAATGTTAAGGAATATGGAGTGTATCACTTTATCAGTGTGATGGGTAATGTTGATGTCATGGGTGTTCTGACTCAGAAAGACACTTATGCTGACATCTAAACCACACTTGCTCAGAATGTCTGTCAGGTCAGGATGGCCCTCCTGTCCCTGCTATAGAGTGCAAGGCATCTATCTAGTCACCTGTTGGACATATCATTATGGCCTGGCCCATACTGCTTTAGTGAAACAGCTTGTGTCTATCAACATTTTGTTCATTGTGTTTGCTGTTATTAACATTGTGTCAAGTTGGTAAAGTGATGAATAAAGGTGTTAAAATGTGGATTTCTAGTTTCCTCAAAGTGCATGCTGTGTATACTAGCTGCCACATCCTCTGGTCAGCAGGGCCTTCATACTTGGGTACTAACATAGAGGTGCCTAGAGTCTTTCCTGTGTCAAAGCTCAGCAAAGAGCCTCACATTACACTCTCTCAAGGGGTTTATGCTTCCTAGCTTAGGCAGGACTGCAAGGGCGCAGAACAGCCATCTGCCAGATTCAAGGCCAGGTCTGACTTGGTGCAGCCCTTATGTGAGGCCCAGACTTAAGGTGATTATTCATAAACTGCATCACAAAAAGCAGCACTCCAGACTCAGGCACATCATCAAGCTGATGAGCAGAATGCAGGTCAACCTCAAATGCTAGTCCAAGGAAGCTGCTGCCCCCCAATTTTTTTTTTTTTAGGAATGTGATAATTTGCTACCTGTAGACAAATAATAAATAAATTCTAAACGCAGAAAGTGCTCACAAGGAAATGTCTAACATAAAGTAAAGCAAAGATTAAGCAAGCAGATGGCTTTAGATTAACAGTAGCTATGCATGTATTTTGTGAAACTAAAAATATTTCATTAAGAAACTTGGGAACAATCAAACCCAGTGGACAGAGTGAAGAGGGGCTACTACTCACAGCTCTTGTGTACTTTGGAGGTGTCCAGAGTGCTGATCAGCTCCTTGGTTAGCAAGGGTAGCGGTGCTGAAAAGATGACAACCTAAAAGCAGCCAGGAGTAGTGGTGCACACCTTTGGGCCCAGCACTCAGAAGGTAGATTTCTGTGAGTTCAAGATCAGCCTGGTCTACCTGGTGAGCACTAGGCCAGCCAAGCCTACATAGTAAGGACCGTGTCTCAAAACAACAAAACAAACAAACAAAAAATCCCACAAAACCCAGAAAAACCAACGGCCCACAAAACAAACAAACAAACAACAACAAAAAACAAATGACAATCCTGGAGCCAGAAAAAAAAATCACACTAGAGAAAATAAACAAAATGTAACAGCAGATAGAACAAAAGGAAAACCGATGAAACAATAAACCCAAATAACATTTGTAAATGCCATGAGTAACATGGGGGTGGGGGAGTAGACAGGAAGCTGGTTCAGCAGATACATAGCATACGTGTAAAGGACAGCAAGCAGAATGAATGCTCTGGAGTTCACCCATCAGTGACTCATTGAAGATGGGAATACCAGGCCTACTTGTTTGCTGGCTTGAGGAGCATGTCTGTAGTGTGAGAGCTGAGGCAGAGCCAAAGGCCAGAGGCTATCTTCTTACCCTGACAGTGAGGTCTTTTTTAAAAGCTCAGGTGTCACAACATGTCTACACATTGGCACAACTTCTAATACTGAAGCTATTAAAACGCAAATAAAAGATCACCAGCTTTACACGAAAAATAATCTGAAAACCAAGGCAATATAAATTAATTCATAGACATACAGGACTTAACAAAAAATTCGAACAGAAATAGACAGCTGACTATATAACTCCTGACTTAGGGTTAGGAGCTACAGAACATAGCTGAAAGCCCCCAAAGCCTCCTGCCCTGAACACAAAATCCACCTGGGTCAGTGCAAGGTTGGGCAGGAGAATCTTTCTGATCTTGTGAGGCAGAGACCAAGGTCCATTAGGACAACCGCTGAAGAGGCTCAGCAGCTGGCGCTTCCTGTGTGTGATCCTGCCAGGACACACCTCAGTTGTTGCCTCTATTAGTAAAACAGCCCCAAATCAACCCAGGGGAGGCTGGGCTGTGGCTGAGAACAGGCTCTGCCACACCTTTTAACAGTCATCCTGAACTGGTATAAAACTCTAAACACCAAGGAAGTTCCAGGCATAAGTGACTTCACCAGCAAGCTCTTCCAAATGTCAGGGATGAAAAGATTTTAAATGTATTCCCCTTAAAGAAAAATGGGTGACAGTTCAGTGTTGCAGATCCAGATGAAGCAAGGACAAGGATTGTAAGTCACTGTTACCTGTCACTGTATTGCAGCAAAAATGCATAGTGCTGACTAAGTGTCAGATACTGTTGCAGAATTTACTTATGCTCACTCATTCAGAAGTCAGTACTCAGCAAATTGTGAAATGCAAAGGATCAAAACCAGGCAGACATTTGAACATAAGATGGAAGGATGTGTCCTAAAGAAAGTACCAGTCCAGGCAAGGCTCAGAGTGGAAATGAGGTGTTTTCAGGGAATCCTGGGCTAGGGCAACCATGCAGATCCATGGAGAGCAACGGCAGCAGACCCTTAACCTTCTTAACAGCCACAGAAATTCATTCTAGGTGGAATACACACCTTAAAACTCTAAATAGGCAAACTACCAAATATTCTGGAAGACAGACTCCTAAAAGAAAGAATACCCCTATAGCAGTCAACACAGAAGACTTCTGCGACCTGAAGACGATTTCTGCCCACTAAAAAGCAAACAACTCTGAAGCAGACATTGCTAGTCACCCTCTAATTCAAATCCATTCAGGTATCATTCACCTGGAAGAAGGACCAGATCTCACAGGTCGAGGGCCATGACTGCCTTGGAACTTCAGAACAGAACATAACAAGTCTATAGTGATATTTTTCTTGTGTTTTAGTAAATAAAGCTTGCCTGAAGATCAGAGTGCAAAGCTAGCCACACTAGTCAGCCCTACAAGCCAGGTTGTGGTGGCACACACCTTTAACCCCAGCAACCACAGAGGCCGGGCGGTGATACACACCTTTAATCCCAGCACTAAAGAAGCATATAAGACAGGACGAGACAGGAATTTGCTCTTTTCAATCTGAAGATTTCATAGAGGTAAGAGCTCTCTAATGGTTTGGCTGCTTCGCTTTTCTGATCTTTAACTTGAACCCCAGTACCAGTCTCTGGGTTTTTATTGGTCATGCTATATAACTCCACATTTTCTCCTGTTTCTGACTGGCTAAAAACTATGGTTCTTTAACTTCCTTTTTAGAGTCAATTAATTTGCTTAAACAGCTTTCAGAACTTAGAAAGCACATTAACAATTATAAAGTCCCTACAACCAATAGGGACGAGAGAGGTGGGATGAGGTGTGGGAAGGTGTAGAGCTCCCTCTCTGGGTACCACCCTCCAGGAACCTCCAGCTGCTCAGCTCCTCAGATGTTCTCTGAACCCAGTCCTCTTGACTTTCTGAGGAAACATATTATGTAGGCATTACTAACTCTGGTCACTGGTGATCAATTTAACCAGCATCCCCTTCACTTCTGGGAGCTTGGGGTTGGGGTCACATTGCCTCTATCTTTCCAGTGGCCAGCCACATCCTGAAGCCACTTGGAGTTGGCCAGAAGACAACTCATTAGTATACAATGATATCACCCTTCAGAGAGTCTAAAGGTTCTAGGTGCTGTGTGTTTGGAAACCAACACAAACCAGATATTTATTTTACAGTGTTACAAAGACTACAAAGGGAAAATTATAAAAAAAATAGTACCCAAAATTTGTTAATAATTAAAAGACTGATACACAGAACCAGAATAAAGTTAGAAAGTTCTCTCAGAAACACTATTAGAAAATAAAAAGAAAAGCCGCTATGGATAAATGTGATCCCCAAATTGCAGAATCATAGGCTACTTCCCTTATCCATGCTTGGGATAAATGTTCTAGATTTCAGAAAATTTTTCTTCATTTTGTTTTGAATTTACAGACATCTTGGTGAGCATTCCTAATGAGAAAAGTGTAGATCTTCCTGTGTTTCATGTTTTTATTTGCCCCCTTCAGTGCTAGAGATGGAATTCAGCACCTCCTGTCCGGCAGTTGCTCTACATGGAAATGACTCCTAGTCCAAGTGTTAACATTTGGACACCAAGACAACGCTCAAAAACTTTCAGATATTCAGAATCCTTTCTTAGTGAGGTTTTATTTCTACTATGATCATGTTTCCTTCAGCTCCTTCAGCACATTCACAATAGCTTTTCCAGACAACCCCAGCAGTCTCCAGAGTGACCGTACTCAGCAGCACCAGCACTGTCTGCACGGGCTTCACACTAGAAGGAACATCTTCCTGGTGGATCAAATTTGCCTTTTCTAACGAGCACTTTTCACACATCCAGTCATCTTGTTTCATTTTGTACAGTGTGTATTTAATTCTTCCCCTGGTTTTTGGCTGAATAGTCTGCTTATTTGCAGGAGTTATTGCAAGCAAAGGGTGAGGTAGGGAGTGGGGAGATTTTTTTAACTATGACATGTTAATATTATATAAATTCTTAAAATGTTTTTCATATTTATAAATGCTATTTTTTATTACAACTTGGAACTTATTTCCTACTGTTACTTATTGTATGTAACTTGTTTTATTGAAGAATTCAATGAGAAAGTCAGTTATAATTTATAAAGAGCCACATAAAATGTTTACTTTTTAAACATAACAATATTATTAGTTCTTTAATAAGGACTGCTTGTCACATGAAAACTTATTTTAATTATATAAAACTTTCATGAATTAGGAAGAAAAAAAATACTACTTTACAACAGGATGTATAATGACAAAGGAAGTGTTTCAAATATGGCAAAGTCCCAAGGTTGACTTTACCAAGTTAGGACACATTAAGCAAGCTGAACTTCAGTCCTAAGGTAATTACAGTCTCACCAGGCTATTCAGAGAGATGCATGCCCAGGTGCAACGCTGGAGCTATCATGATGGAGAACAGCTAGCAGGACTGGCGGCCACCAAGGTGGGAACTGTGGCGCGGGAACAGGGCAGTAGTCTTCTTAAACTCCTGGAAGCTCCAGTGCATCTGCTCTACCTCAGCTCTGTGTTGTGCCCGGGTACGGCTCAACTCCTGCAGGAGATGTTCGTTGGTACTGACCAGGGAACTGGAGGATAAAAGGAGATTAACTGCTGAATCCCTCTCAGTACTCAGCCTGCTGCCGTGTCCCAACTCCCACAGCCTAACTCAAAATCCACAGCAGGAAGGATCCCAGACCCTTGTTCTGGCCAGGTTTTTCTAACTGCAGCAGTGCCAACACTTGTTCATGGCTCCATTATTTTCCACTTCTTAC